TCTCATAATATTATGACTTTATTTTTATACGACTTTATTCTCATAAATTACGACTTTATTTTTATACGACTTTATCGTAGTATTATGACTTTTTTCTCGTAATTTTAAAAAAGTTTGAAAAAAATCTTGTGCGGCCCTAATACTCCGTCGTACTAAACAGCTTGGTAAGTAAAAGTTAGCAGACAATAATCTGCTAAATAGGTTTTTAAAAAGTTATTGGAATCTGATGCTAAATAAGTAAAAATTAACAGAAGCTATCGCTAAATGTAAAAAAAATGAAATTGCGAAAGCTAAATTGCTAAATGTAAAAAAAGAAGACATTCTACAAATGGTGAAGAGCAATGATGACATTTTGTGTGTAACAACTTGTATAAATCTTAGATGTATACTTAAAAGTCTTTAAGTTGTTTGTTCTTGCATAATTTCTGACATCACTCATGTTTTTTTTTCCATGTTCTGTTTTCCTCCTAATTCATCTAATGTTGTCACAGCAGGAAAAAATAAGCGATGGGAGTTGCCTCGAACGCACGACTCCAAACCGTGGTTGTTAAATGAGTTTGTACCGAAGGAGGGGTTTGCCTTGTTGAAAAAGTCTCCACATCCACCCACTTTTCGTCAGGAAGGGAAGCCGATGTATTTCCTCCCCTTCTTTATCTAAAGGAAGTGCGAAAATAAGCACCAGCGACGGAGCACCCGGGCTCGGACACCTTTTGGGCAACCGGTCACTCAGCTGGAGTCTGTGGGACCAGTCAGAGATCATCATGAAGTCCATGAGGGTTCTTGTCCTCCTGTGTCTAGCATCAGTCCATGTCTTCACACCAGGTAGGATGATCATTCAGAATAAAATAATCTGGATAAGTTCTTTACTAATCTTGATACAAATCTAACCATTTATTGAAGTAATGAATGAATTAGCTCAACGTTTGTGGAAATTTGATGTTCTTTTTATTATTTATGCTGGAGTTTATTTAATTTAATTGAATATAATTTAGTTCTGGACCTCAGATGTTCAATCAAAGGAGCCTCGCTTTGAATTTTGCCTCTGAGATACGAAAACTATTTCCGTTTATTCAAACTGAGATAAAACAAGTGAGTCGTGTTCCCTTGAGTGTTCGCCTTTAGTTTTTCCCCAAAAGAATTGAAACCAATCTTCAGTTTTGACAATTCCATAGATTTTTATTTTTTTAATTGAACATGCAACATCAACTACACAAAAACTAAAACTCCTCCTGAAAGTTGTCGCCCGGTTGAAGGAGGCGAGGACAAACGTACGCTCTTGATTTGTTTGTTTTTCCTTGTGCTGAGCCAGAAGAGCAGTCCTGTGTCGAGCTGATAGGTGATCAAACAGCAGATAACCAGTGGGAACTGGACGGCACCCCCTCTCTCACACAGACAACAGATTATTGTCCTGAAACCAGGAGGTCCCAGATGGCAACAAATGGACTTCCAGCAGTAAACAACTGTAGGAAACACCCAAAGCCTGAGCTTTGTCACTGAACTCTGACAAAATGCGAGTGTTTTACAAGTCTTGACCTGTTAAAACACAATGAGTTTTGTATTAAAACCTCAGACTTGCTCAGGATTTTTGGAGTTTTGACTTGGGGTATTTAAACTACCCAAAGGGACGCTTCAAATACCAAAAGACCAAATGAAATAAAGATGTTTGCTGACGTCTACTCTGAAATATGTTGAATAAAATCCCAACAGACAGGAAGCTTGGCGCATACCCAGGGGAGACAACAGTTGTGTGTCTGCGACAGGATGCAGCTTCACACTCTGTAGCTGAAGAGGATGTCCACCTCAACATGCCCCAACTTCCGCTTGTGTCCTGACTTTTCATCCCCAAGTCTGACACTTGGAGCGACATGGGTCTTTGTCTCAGACATTGACCTTTAAAGCTCTGCCAAACAGGAATCCAACCAATACGCAAGTGCAAACCTTAAAATAGCGACTCAGAGGAAATGTCTTACACAGACAGACACTTGTGGTTTTGGGCCCCAGTAGTTCCAAATGCTTCCGTAGGACCTCAGGATGTAGACCACAACACAACCAAACAGGACCGCTCAGACTTCATGTCATCCAGTTTATTTCTAACCCAAATTTCTCCCTTCAAAATACCCTAAGTCCCTGTTGGAGGTCTCCACTCATGAGGCTGATGGGACTATCTGTAAAACTTGGCAATAAAATCTGAAGTGGACCAAACTGTAAACCTTCTATCCCCTGGCTGCACCCAGAAAGTCCATCCATAAAACCATTGGTATCAAAGGCATCCCTGTTAGAGTCCAGTACTTGCCTTAAGCAAGAATGACTTATTAGGGTCGATGCAAACCAGGCTTGGCTGAGTGGGAACTGAATGAAGCACCTCCCTCTGAGCAACATGTGACAAATACTAACAAGTCTTTCTCAAGTTAGCTGAAGATGCAAAGGTCCAAACACTGTTGAGGAGGTTTGTCTGAATGTCCTTCAGGCACCCCAAGTTTTTGCTTCCACAACTGTCCCATTGGTAACTCTGTTTTACTTACTAACCAGCTCCACTAATACCTCTCAGCTACTTCAGGAGCTAATTCTTCACTGGATACCTTTACCCAGTGGTGGGCATGGTTTTATGCTAATCAGCTAACTGCTAACAGTGGAACTAATGTTTCATTAACCTTTTCACTAACATTGAAAACCAATAGCGGCCCAAATAGCTTTCACTCAATTAGGTTTTGCCAACTTTAAGTCTGCTAACTAACAAACTAACATCAACAGGTTTGTGTCAGTCCCAGCAGACTGAGGGACGGTCATCTTAGTGGTTATCTGTTAGCGTTAGCATTCGATAATTTTTAATTCTTTAGCTCGGAGTGTCAAACTCATCTTAACCGAGGGCCACATGGGAATTATGGTGGCCCTCAAAGGTCCAGTCTTAATTAAGACTAAACACAAAACGTCACGTTACTCATCTACGGCTGAGCACTAACAAACAATAACTGAGCTCTACGTGGTATTTCTTGCATAGAAACAGCGTTTTAACACGACCTCTTAGAAATACTGAAAAATACTACGTGTACGACTGACTAAATCTGAACTAAATAATACAGAAATACCATAAAAAGTAAGAAATGTTTACTCCCTGAGTTGTGGTGAGTAGCTGCCATATTGGATTCTGAACTCGCCCACTTTCTAACAGAGAATTCCCACTGGAAAGGCATTCCAGTTCAAATTCACGACTTATAAGTGGAAAACTCCCATTTCCCTTTACAACTGGGCAAAGGTTGCGGGTAAATGTGCAGTGAAATGGATATTTTACACAGAGTTTCACCAGCTGCTGGCTACTTTTGAACCCTGTTTACCTCCACTTAGTGGTGGGACGCCATCATTTCACAGTAAAAATAATCAACATCCATTCTGAGAGAGGTAGTTTATGGTCAATGTAGGATTTAAAGCAGCATACACTTATTCTAAGACATTAATACATCTTTAAAGCTCTCATGGGTCATATAAAAGGCTGTGGTTGGCCACATTTGGTCTATAGAGCAAATCATCTGTGGAGACCAGAGCATAACTTGTTTGGACTTAATGTCTAGTCATTATGCTGGAAAAGCTCTACCAGAGGTCGGAGCTAAAGATGAACTGGTGAGTCTGCCAGAAGTTTCTGGTACATCCTAACTATTCAACTGGGTGGTGCTTCGTGTCTATCAACTGTTCTCAAATCATCCAGGTATTCAGCGAGCAAAGGTTTTTCTCTAACACTTGTGTTTCTGTTTTTAGGTTCATCAGAAGAAACAACAGCTCCAACGACTAAAGCCCCTACACCCACAAGTAGGTTTTTAAATGAAAGCACTGCATGTTGACCAACTTCATCTTTGAAGTTATCACCGTTAATACGTAACCCCGGCCCCCTTCAGAAAAGTGAACCAGTTCTGGTTAATGCTGCAGACAAATAACTGAGTCCTGATACTTTTTCTTTCTGTTTAAACAGCAGCACAAACAACCCTAAATAACTCAGCAACACCTACAGCTCCAGCAATTACTTCTGTGGTCCGCATTTCGCTTCCTACTACTGTCAGCCCAACCTCCAAACCAACCAGCAGTAAGTTTATTTTTTTAATTCTTACCAGGGTTTTGGCTGTTTGGCTTCATTTATCTTTATCTTCCCCTGAGTTTGGATAAATAGGAGTGTTCAAACTGAATGTGTCTGTTTTTGTGTAACTGCAAAGCCTCTGGAGTCCACTTAGTGACGAAAACGTTTGAGTTTGATGACGATGATGGACAGTAGAAACCTGCTTGTTTTCAGTGCTTCTCACTGTTTCCCCCTCAGAGTCTCCTGAAGTGAAKACGACTGCAACTGCTCCTACGACCTCGACCTCACCGACTACGACACAAAGACCACCTGTGACCACAGTGGCTAACCAGACCACCGATAGAAGTTAGTCCTTTAGCTGAAAATTTAAAATATGATTTAATTAGGGTTTTTTTTATTAAATTCAATTCAATTCAAAAATACTTTATTGATCCCAGAGGGAAATTAGGTATTTC